TCCTCCTCCTCCTCCTCCTCCTCCTCCTCCTCCTCCTCCTTCTCCACTTCGTTTCATCGTCACCTGCTCTCGTGTATCCTTCCGCACTTGTCGATCTCTGAGATGCCTGAGATGGTCAAGGGTCATTGGAGATAAGCAGGTAAAACACCAGTGGACGAAAAACTCTCTTCTTCTTCCTTCTTCTCTAATCGTTGTCATACACTGAGTGAAAGGAGGAGAAGGAGGAAGGAGCAGGAAGAGGAGGGAGGAAGATGGGGAGGGACGAGGAGGAAAAGGAGGTGGTGATGGAGGACGAGGAGGACGAGGATGAGGAGGTACCTCGCAGTAGAAATCTATCGCAGCTTCGAGGTCGATGTGATGGTCCTCCTCTATCTCGCCTCTGCTGGGTTTCAGCTCGCACACTAGCTTGCTCTCACTCACCTCCTCAGGTAGACCTCAGCGTTGGATGGGTCCAGCGCCTGAGCATTCCGGAACCTCAAGCAGCGTCAGGGAGGAGGATGACAGGCGAATACAGGGTTAGTACCAACGAACCGCCTCGTCTTCGTCCTCTTGCCAGTCCCAAAGCAGTGACCCGTAGTTGCATGCTAGTACTGAAGTATACATCACTTCTCCTCCTCCTCCTCCTCCTCCTCTCCTCTCCCTCATCCTGCTCGACACCCACCTGAGCTGTTGGGATTCAACTCCAGAGCTTGTCGATAGAGCTTCTCTGATGCCACGTCAGCAGCAGAAAGCAAGTCCAACGACCCACCAGCTTCCTCGTACTTCTCCTCCTCCTTCAGTAGCAGGGCATACCTGCGCGCCATTCAGGCTCCTCCTTTCCCTCCTCCACCTCTAACGCCACAACCAGCATCTCGCCCCCCCCCTTCTGTCTTCCTCTTCTTACCCTACGATGGTAGGAACATGATTCGGAGCCATCGCAAGCGCCTTTTTGTGAGCCTCCACTGCTTCCGCCTTGTCCGACTTGAGCAAGAGCTGCAGGTTGAAGCTGAGCAGGAGAGGAGGAGGAGAGGCGAGGAGGTAGGAGAGAGAGCAAGGGGGTCTGGAAGGGAGACGATGGGAGGAAGAAGCAGAGGAGCGATGGCTGAGAAGTTGATGGGGGGAGGGGGCGGGCGGGCATGAGAGAGCGGAAAGAAAAGGAGAGGGGAAGGGAAGGACGAATACGTTGGCGTATCGTTGCTGTAGATCGCTCCTACTCGGATTCACCTGTTTCGATTTTTGAATTTTTGAAAAGGCGTGTCATTTATTCTGGTTACCTCTTTTGATCTCCGCAGATGAAGGAGAGCTTCAGACTGATGAAAAGAGAAACAGAAGGAGGAGGAGAAGAGGAAAGGAGATGAGGGGAGAGGAGAGGAGAGGAGAGGAGAGGAGAGGAGAGGAGGGGAGGGGAGGGGAGGGGAGGGGAGAGGAGAGGAGAGGAGGAGGACGGAAGGGCAAGGACACGAGGGAAAAGGAGAGGATTAGA